TTCCCTTCATTTTATAACTATAGTTTGCATGTATGAGAGAGACAGAGAAGAAAAGGAAAACGTCAGTTTATTTAAGAGGAAAATACATAAAACTAATAGTTTCATTAGGAGCAGAATTTTGAATTATAATAATTTCGTATTTTGAAATCTTGAAGAATCCAGTCAGGATAACTTAGTATTTTTAAGAAAGAATAAGACCTAACTCATGATCAAATACTATGACTCTGCAAAGGACGTAATGCAATAGATTTTTTCCACCCCCTGTAATGGTCACTGACATGCCCAGGGTTTCTCTTTCACAAATACTGTTGCCCTGAAGATTATTGTGCGTCTCCTTGGGAGACGTGTGCGATAGATTCCTCCAGGAGCAGACGCAGGAGGAGAATCCACATGTGTGCGAATCTTCCTCTGTGCTCACTGTTCATAAAGGGCTGCCTTGGGTGGTCGAGCCATTTATACTTTACACATCTACACGTGAGACCTCATGTGACTTCAGATGCTGACCAGAATGTAGTATTTCTGGACTTGTATGTTTCTAACCACCTTATCAGTGCAAAATGGCATCTCACTGGAGTTTTATTTTGTAGCCCCCAGATTATTGGTGAGGTTTCTCATATTTTTCAATATACTTATTGATCACTGAGGATCTCTCTTCTGTGCTCAGACTTTTCGTATCCTTTGCCCATTTTTATATTTGTTTTTTGTCATTTGCGTGTTGTTTCATAGCCATTCTCTACACTGTAGAAGCTAATTCTTTGTGGATTGTATGAGATTATCACATCTTTCTAATATATCTTGATACCTACTAGGAGAGTCACTGTGATATTTTTTCAAAGTTATCTTGTTTATATAAATTTTTAAATAACATTTTCAAGGTCCATGTAAAAGCCTATTGGGATTTTTATTAGAACCACAGATAATTTATAGGTTCATTAGGAAGCAGAGAGCATTTTTCTGATGATGAGTGTTCCTATCCATGAGTATGGTATATGGGTCCTTTGATTGTTCTTTAATTTAGTTGAATAAAACGTGGTAATTTCCTTCATTATGTCCTCCTGGTTTTACTGAGTAAACAAACATATCATCTTCAAATAGTAACAGGGTTCATTTTTTGAATCTTTAAAGCTTTTATTTATCTTTTGGTTTACAGAATGGATTACCACCTAAAATAGAATGTTAAATAGAAATATTGTTAGTGGTCATCTTTGGCTCTCATCTAATTAAGTATGATGTTCACTCTATTTTCTGGTTAATAACCTTTATCAGTTTTCTAAAATGTTTAGTTCTTTTGGTTTCCTGAGTTATTTTTTTAAAATCGTAAATGAGTGTTTAGTTTTTTCAAATACATTTTTTCTATATCTATTAGGAAGATTGTGTGGTTTTTCTTTTTAGTTTCATAGCAATTTTCATTGCGTAAGTATACAGTCAACACTCCACGTCCGCGGGTTCTGCATTTGTGTCTTCACCCAAGTGCAGATGGAGAGGCCTGCGATGGTTACGACTGTACTGAACATACACAGGCTTGTTTTTCTTGTCGTTATTCCCTAAAAGACACAGTATAACAACCATTTACATTGTACTAAGTATTATGCGTAACCTAGAGATTATTTAAAGATCAGAAACACTGTGGGCTCCGTTCCAGACCACCCCAATAAAATGAATATTTCCATAAAGCCAGTCGCACACAATTTTTGGTTTCTCAGTACATATAAAAGTTATGTTTACACTACACTGTAGTCTACTGAGTGTGAAATAGCATTATGTCTAAAAAACCATGTACATACCTTGATTAAAAAATACTTTATTGCTGAAAAATGCAAACCATCAGCTGAGCTTCCAGTGAGTAGTGGAGGGTCTTGTAAAAATGCAATTAAGTGACGTGCAATAAAATGCAGTGTGCCTGTCCATGGGAGGGTGTGTGCGGGTCACGTGCAAAAACAACGCCATTTTATACAAGGACCTGAGCATCTACGATTTTGGTATCTGCGGGGCTCCTGGAACCAAGCCCACAAGGATACCGAGGGATGACTGTATTTGTAATATTAAAACCAGCTACTCCTTTCTGGGATCATCCTAAATTTGTCTCGATACGTTGTTTTTGTTTTGTTGTGCATGTATGTGTTGGGTTTATATTTTGCTACAGATGATTTGAGTAACAACATTAACAACCTTGACCTAACGTAAAAATCCACATCCAAGACGTGGGTAAGTTCTCCTCAAGCACACGTGGAACATTCAAAAGAGACCACATACCAGGACATAAAACAAGTTGAAATCATTACAAAAAGACAGTGTAAGACACAAAACTTTCCTGACTGCAGTAACATTGTTAGAAATAAAAAGTAAAATATTATTTTAAAATGCAACAGTATACATTTGTAAAATAAATACACATATCACTCATAGATGAAAGAAATATCAAAGAAAGTTAGAAAAAATGTATGGATGAAAAATAACAAAAATACTACATATTAAATTTTTGAGAGACAGCAGAAGCATTATATAGAGGACAATTGATAGCCGTAGATGCACATAATAGAGATAATTTTTAAAAGGTTGAAAAATAATAATTTAAGGCTATCACTAAATGCTTATGCCATTAAACTAATTAAATGGGTAGTTTAAAATCTACTTGCAAAAATACTAGCAGACTCAAAGTTTTATATGGATTACATCAATACATCAAAGTAGAGAGAATCCCAAAATTTTGCAAATCATTTAGAGAATAAATATGAAGGAATATTTTCAAAATAGCTGTTTTAAAATTTTTTCATGTGTCTCTTGTAAGAAAATTTGATGATCCGTGTCTGTTTTATATTCAATTTAACAACTGTTTGGATTCAACCTTTCGTGTTTCATCCATTTGTATACATTCGACAAGAGATATATTTGCATTTTTGTCCACTCCCTTATTTCATGGTTTCTCCTGACCTCAGTTAATAACAGTGTTTCATTTTCTACTCTCCTGACTGCTTTTGAATTGAGTGATTTATTTCATATTTTTTCCTTTCTAGTAATTCCATAGTCATTTATTGACTTTCAATTATTTTAGTAATCATCACTGAAATTTTGACATGTGTCTAAACACTCTCTAAAGGTAATAAGTCCTAAAGTGGCATTTTGGTGGGAAGATTTTTGCCTCTAAATTCTATTTTAATGGTCATAGGGAAATTATGTTAAGTCCATTTTAGAAAGTTATATTTTTCTAAGAATGTATTTATTGCAATAATTTGTCAATAATGCTTTTATTCTATTTTGTTTAATCTGCAGTTTATATAGTTATGCATCCATTTTATTATTGATATTGGCATTTCTCAATTTTTTTTCTCTTGGGTACGCTCTGTAGAGATTTGTCAATTTTATTAGTAGTTTTAAGAAGTTTGTTTTTATCTTTAGGCTTTCGGTTGTCCAATGTTTTCTGTTTCACTAATTACCCCTCGTATCTTGACTCCTCTTTCCTTCTTTGGGTTTGTTCTGTTGCTATTTCTCCAGCTTCTTCAGATAACCACTTAACTTTCTGCCTTTCCTCTTTCCTAATCAATTCACTTGAACACTCAGGTCACCCTCCATACGCCGTCTTAGATGTGTGCCCAGGTTTTGAAGGTGGCACTGTCACTGCTGTGCATCTCTCCCTCTGGTGCACACCTCGACCTGTCGTTGACACAACCAGCCACAGCGACCACCTTGAAACAGACGACCGGTGTCCTCTCCCTCCTCAGTCCCACCACGTTTCTCCAGCACATGTGGACCACGCTCCACTTCCTATGGGGCCACACGGACGCCAGCACGCCCCCTCATGGCTCTGTTGACGCTTCCACGGCTCCTACTCCCCAGGTGCTGCCCATGTGGACTTACCGCGCTGGCTCCTTTTGCCACATTCTGAACGTAGGTCAAGGGGCCTTCCCTCCTCTCATTACTCTGTCACACGGCTCTGCTTCCACAGTGCTGTGAAAATCTGAAAGGATCCTGCTTATTCTGTTTGTTGTTTGATTTCTGCCCAGAGCAGGTCTGCTCAGACAGGAGAAAAACTTTTTCTTTACTCATCTCTATTTACAGTACTTACTATGTGAGAGGAGTCCAACCAGTATTTGTTGACTGACTAAGTGAGTTAATGCCCAGGAGAGAGCAATGTAAAGACCATCACAGAGCCGTCTGCTGGAGGCAAGGGAGCTGAGTGGCCAGAGACAGTTCTGCCCCGAGGCTGCTCACCAACCTGACACCTTGTCTCTTACTCTGTAGTCAGTGAGTTGACTGGTCTCAGCGTTAAGTGGATGCTTGCTAATCTGTCACCAGACCTAGAAAAAGGAAATCCCCAGGATATCATCCCTGAACCAGAAGCGTGCTCACTCGGGAGTCGAGGGCCTCAGAGCATGGCGCAGGGCCTGGGGGCCATCCCTGAGCTGCAGAGCTCCCAGCCACATCTGCCCAAAGCTGAGGGTGCCCGAGGGAGCTGCAGAGCGAGCTGTGGGCACCCAGGCCTCAGTATAGCCTGGGAGACCTGGGCCGGCATCCGGTGGGGTGTGGGGCCAGCGGGCCTCCCGGGACAGGTGAGGGGGAATATTTGACTGGGTACCTGAGGGAGAGTCTATGCATTTACTTGTATTTACATGTTTTTCTATGTTTTTCATTTTCCACTTCAAATGCCAGAAAGTTCAAAAGTGAAAATTTCTTAGGCAAGGTTTTGTACCAAGCCCCTCATTGTGTGACTGGAGCTCTTTGCCCTTGCTTCCCTGGGTGCTCATTGTATTGCTTTGACCCTAAGTTAACTGAAATTCCTCTTAGGAGAGAGCAAGACCAAGAGAGGAGGTGAGAGCAGAAGGGAGGGGACACAGGAAGAGCGAGGGGCAGGGAGTCCCAAGCGGGGCCCAGGCCCGTGAGGTCCGTCCCCTGCTGCCATCCTGTTTGACTGTTACTCATTCACCTGCAGTGAGTTTTAGCATCTCCGTATTTTCCTGCTAAAATGGTCTCCCTCACACGTTTCACACTGCTATCTGCAGCATAGCTCAATTCGTCTCATTTTAATTCCCTTCTGTTGTGCAAGACCTTACCTCAAGAGCACGTTTCCTTACGTGTTGCGAGTTTTGAGGGTTTTCAGCTTGTTTCCACTAACAATTTTAGAACCTACTGAATTATGTATTGAAGTATTTGCCTTTGTCTCAGTGTAGTGTTATGTGAATGAGTCTGTTTTCCGGCCAACACGGGTGTGAGGTTTCTGTCAGCCTAATTAAGGAACAGTGACAGCCTGCAGCTCCAGGCCGTGGCACACATCTGGGCCTGTAATCAGCTCACGGCCCTCTTGGTTTCCCACCGTCCTTTCCTGAAAGGAAGGTTCCGGTGAATATACGAGGTGGGCAACAGCATTCAGCGAACGTTTATTACAAGAACGAAATACACAGGATACACCTCGTTATTTATACTAATAATCACAAAGTAGTGAGTTACTATCTGGGTGAAAAGTACCACAAAACATTAAAATGTTTAAGTCTGATTATGTCTGTGTTACCAATACTTTAAATCTCAAATATCCGTCACCGACACAGTATACGTGCTATTGTAGGTGAATCGAACTTTAAAAAGCCACAACTTCACATTTTTATATTATTTCACAACTACTAAAACTCTTTTATACTGTGAGATTGGATTTGATTATTTATGAGTACAAAGAGCTTTATAATCCTTTTCTTAAACGGTGTGTTTAGCTGACTGTTCAAATGATAATTTTGGCTGTAGGTCAATATGTTTTGCTTCATAAAATTGGGGAACTTAGAAACGATACCTCATATCTACGGTTTGTTTGGCCTTCTCATGGTGTGTTAATTATCTGTTGTGTAAGTGTGTTGTGTAGAATCGTGTGATTGTGTCATACGTATAAGCGTATTTAGCAATAAAACCAAAGAAAACTGTCCTTTCCTTTTCTTTAGCCGTGTGGGTCTGAGTCTTCAAACCTTTCAACGTCGTGGCTGTTTCTACAGTTAACGTCACAGAGTCAGCGGGAGGGAGTCCTGTTGGAACGAAGCGTCTGACTGTTTTTTCTAAGAAAACAGATGGAGAGTAAACCCTAGCACACCGACTTGTTGATTCTGGAACCCGATGTGAGACGCTGGCCCCAAATGACCTCGGGGACTTTCAGGTGTCGCATCCCCCATCTTCCTCTGGCTCTTGATTTAGAAGCTGAGCACAGGGGACACGCGGTTCCTGTGGGGGTGGAAACAGAGAGGTGTTAGGGGGCTTGGGAGATGAGGAGCGTGCTGCTGAGAGAGTCTGGAACTGTAACGTGACACCACCACCTGGGGTGTCCGACCAGAAGGCCGGGGGCCCGGAATTCCGGTTCTCCAAGCTCCAAGGTGAGGCAGGTGAGCTCCTCCGAGAGGACCCACCATCAGGCTCCACACCGAGTCTGCGCCTTACTCTGACTCCCGCCAGCTCTGGGCTTCAGGAATCCCCCACTCTGAGGGACGCCCCAAATAACCCCAGGGGCTGCGGGTTCAGAGTTCTGGGAGGGTCTTGCTGCTCTGCGGGGTTGGAAGTAGCACCAGGTTTCAATTAAATCGAACAGTTCTTACTGATCACTCAGCATTTCATCTCTACGCAGGAACGTGGGACCCACAGTCCAGAAACTCCTGCCTCCCAGTGGGAAGTCCTGTTCTCAGGGAGAGCCACGGGCCAGGGCAGGAGCAGGCAGCCTGGGCGCTGAATGAGGTGTGTTCGAAGCGGCCTTGCTTCCCGTGCACGAGACGCTGGTGCTGCCACGATCAGAGATTTCTCCGTTAGCAGGTGGAAAGCAGCTGAGCCTCGAGGCCAGTTCACTTTAGTACATATGAGAGAGGAGGGGATCTCATTTCGGGGAAGCTCCATGACCAAGATTTACGATGAGAAAGACCATGCACGTGTTGTTTGGGATATTGGTACTGAAGACTAGGAGGAGGGTGGGGCATTGCCAAATTTCGGGGGCCCTACGGATTTGATCCTGTGGAGAAAAAAGAACATTGATGACTGAAAGAATAAACCGACAGAGGAACTATGTGGCCGTCACTGGACTTGGAGACAGTGACAGTGAGAGTGACAGGGAAGGAGCAGGACTGAGCAACGCCGGGGAGATGGGGTGGGGAGAGGCTGCTCCAGAACTGACGGAAGTTGGTGACTTGAAGAAAACCTACGAAGGAAACAAAGGAAGAAGTCAAGGAAGGTTGCAAGCTTGGATCACAGAACACAGAAGCACGCGTGGTTGGAAAGCGCAGGATAAAGACGACAGTAGTGACGTCTTTAACACGTTCACCTGGGGCAAGCATGAACTGCTGCAGTCCAGCCTCTCTGTTCCATCTGCAGAGAGCGCAGCCCACATGTGGCGGCCGATCTGCGTGGAGCCGTGTGCTGAGACCCGTCTGACCCCGCTGTGACTCCCAGGGTCCTCCTCCTCCTGTGTCGTCACAGATGTCGTCCTCGACATGTGACTTTCCCAGCTTGTCACCATGCACTAGAACTTGGGGTCCCTTCATCCAAAGAAACAAGCCAAAAAGACTGAAATCGCCAAATGGGGGAGGAGGATACGGAGAATGGACTGAATCACCAAGTTCTAACAGGAATTTTAGGGCAACATTTGATACTTGAAGGAAAAGTAAACGTAAGGTAAACTTCAAAATCCTATTCCATGTAGTACAGCAGCCCCCAGCCCTCGGTTCCCCTTTCCAGATTCAGTTACCAGAGGTCAGCTGTGGTCCAAAAGTATTAAACGGAAAATTCCAGAAAGAAACAATTCATAAGTTGTGAATTGCATGCGTCCTGAGAAGTGTGATGAAATCTCGTGCTGTCCCCTCCAGCCTGCCCAGGACGTGACTCCCCCTTCGTCCATCGGATCCACGCTGTGCTACCCGCCCGTTAGTCACTTAGTGGCCATCTCAGTTATCAGATGGACTGTCGTGGTATGGCAGTGCCTGTGTTCCAGGAACACTTCTTTTACCCAGTAATGGCCCCAAAGCGAAGAGCAGTGATGCTGGCAATTCAGACATGCCAAAGAGAATGATTGCTGTCAACCCCTTACTGTGCCTAATTTATGAATTAAACTAAGCCATAGGAGAGTGCGTGTAGGAAAAAACACCCTCTGTGGGTTTCCGTGCCATCTGTGGCTTCGGGCATCCACTGGGTTTTGCACCGTGTCCTCCGTGGACACATGGGGACGAATGAAGACGGTAAATCTATAGAACTCACCAGCAAGAGCCATTTGAAACGTGGCTTTGTTAACTTCAGAAGGGACCCTCCAAATCTTTTCAGTCGACGCAGTGACAGCATCCACGTGTTTCCACAACCTCATCCTCTGTGTTCCCATCCTGGTCAGAACACTGGCCTGGAACCCTCACTCAGACCAGCGCCGGCGTAGACGGGGAACATCTTTGTCGTGCAATTGAGAACCCCTGGTTCCTCGAGGACAGTCTGTCAAAGGGAAACCTCTGGTGCCACCTGCTGCCCCCATCCTGCATGACTCTGTACAGCTCTGAGGGAGAATAGGAAGTTTTGAAGCCAGTTAGTCACTGTAAGATGGAAAAAGCTCAAGTGTGTGCTGTATCACTTGTAAAGTGTGTTGCACACATTATCTTGTTGCTTCTTACACGCTCCCAGAAGATAAACAGGGCACAGATAGGTATTGTGGTGCCAAATAAGAAAACAAACTGGACTGAAGTAAGGGGGGACTTTACTCAAAAGTACTACTGCACTGGGGCCCGTCCCGTTCCAGCACGGCCTGTCTTAGCTAATTACGTCCCTCCCCAACGACCTCGTTTCCAAATAAGGTCATATTCTGAGGACTCCAACACACGGATTTTAGTGGAATGCAGTTCAACCCACACCACGCAAGGAGAGCCCGACAGCCAGCACTGAGCGCAGCGCTGGGAAGGTCCAACCCCGAGACCCGGGAGTGTCTCCAGCCTGGGCAGCAGGGGCTGTTCTCTGGGGAGCGAGCGGGGCTGGACAGAACCGTGTGGGCAGCAGAGGAGCCTGACGGGCGGGAGGTCAGAGGACGTTTTACGTGGGGTCAGCCGTCCAGCAACACAGTGGGGCTGTGTTCACTCCAGGGCTCAGGGAGGGTGGGTTCAGGGTCTGGGAGGGAGAAGCCTGGTCAAGGGAGGTCCAGTCAGGTTACTGGGCATCTCATCCGGACTCGGCAGGGGCACAGATTCTTCAGTGCTTCTTCACGAGACAAGAGTGAACTCGGGGCCCTCACATGCTGGACTTCTCTGTCAGGCCTGCGTGAGCTGGGCGGGTCCTGGGTACGCAGATCTCTTGTAAAATGACAAAAATTAGGAATATCTAATCTCAGGATTTTAAAAACCCTACTTTTTCCCTAAATAAAGAAGCCCTGTTTAATTAAGACATCAGCTCAGTGGGGAGCCTGGCCCTTCACTGACTGGTTGTCCCTGGGTCCTGGGGTCCTGGGTCCTGGGGTCCCGGGGTCCTGGGTCTATGACAACAGGGCAGTGGATCAGTCATAGTCTGGTCTGTGCACATCCTCGGAAGGTGGGGCTGATCCCGGGCTGACCCCAGACAACCTAGCCCTCCCTCCAGGCCAACCCGTCACCATCCACCACTGAAGCCACCGTCTCGGGTCTCACCCGTCAGCCCCTGGTGATGCTGTCATGTCACACTGATGGTTTTGTAGATCAATCACTGTAGAACATTGGAAATCTCATGTTCTCACTTTTCCTGCAGAGAATCAAAATAAGCCAACTGAGACATGATGGTAAATTGTGCGCCCGCCTCCTTACAAATCGCAGCAGAGCAGACAGGTGTCGAAGCTGATCTGGACCAGTGAGAGAGGGAAGAAGAGAAGAAGTGAACCTTTCAGAATTCGGCTCACAAAAGCATGCCCATTGTTGGAGAAGAAACAGATCGTGAGGGACAGTCATTAATATTTCCCATAAGGAATAACCACTCCTCTGTTTTAAATGCCTGTGACGAGATGTGAATGGAGATAATTGACTGAACCCCAAATCTCCCCCCTGGAACCAATAATAATAATTTGCCTCCAGCTGGTTCAGAGGGTCTTTGGACTTGGCTCTTCCACCCAAATAAGTTACACTGAGAGGCCGGCAGGCGCATGTGGGCTAGGACTCCACATGCGCCTGCTGGCGTCAGAGACTCGGCAGATCCTGATGAGGAAAACACAGAGGGGCATCGGCACCACCAGCCCCTCAGGGCGGCTCAGCACCAGGGCCCAGAATTTAGTCGGTGTCTGAAAACAACTTCTAGAACCTGGTTCTGCCTCCACCCCAGCACAGCCTCCAAGGGTCTCAGGACGGAACGAGCTCAAGCTCGAGCTCACCGAGCAGCTGGGAGAACGAGGTTTTGATTCTTCCTGTTTCACGTGTGAATTCATCCTATTTTTGTGGTCAGTCCTGTGTGTACTTTACTGACGGGTAGGTTAAAGTCGTGCCTCGGAAAATCACTCAAGGAAGACATTGCATACACTCACACATGCGCACACACACATGCACACTCTCACATTGCACACACTTGCATATGTGCACATATATGCACACTCACACATGTGCACACACTCACACCCACACACGCATGTTTGCACATGCACGCACACGCATTCAATCGCAGGTGCACACACACTTGCACACTCACTCACCCCCAGGCTGAGCACACGCTGACCTGTCCAGTGAGGTCCACTTTCCCTGTGCCTGGCTGGACGAAGCTCCGGACACTCCAGGGGACAAGGGGCATCACTCCCACCTCCATGGGGTTTGCACTCACGACAGCGTTCCGTTGACTAACACATCTACAACGTGATAAGGTCTGCACAGGGGTGTGGGGGGCACAGTGGGGAAGCCGACCAACATTTGGGTGGAACCAGGAAAAGTTCAGGAAAGGTAGCAAATCTGCTGGAACTCTGGAAACCCGGGTGCGGGCAAAGGACTTGCTGGCTGCAGATTTAGCTCGACTCAATACCTCTCCTTGGCCCAGCTCGTCCCTGCACAGGGTCGGGGACACAGACGAGAGTTGGGCTTTGCTCTCTCCCTGGAACACTTGTACCCCTGGTGGGAGGGACAGAAAAAGCAATGCCACAACCAGGCGACAAGAGCCGTGAGGAGGGTCGAGAGTGGTCAGGCAGGAACCCCAGGAGAGGAAGTGAGTCTGCTGGGAGGAATGTGGAAGCCTCGGGGAAGGCGGACCTTGGACACGTCTCAAAGATATGTTGGAGCCCCGGCAGGGGGGTGAGGGGAAGGCGCCGCCTTCACAGTGACACGCTGAGTTAGAATTTCACTCAGTGCCTCAGAGCAAACATATCTCTCAACAGGGACCCAGGACTCACCCTTGATTCAGTCCAACAGAACTTCCCAGAGACTGGACCGTGCTGGTGATCGGTCCCGGGCGATTCCAGAATCCTCCTCATCTGTGATGCTCGGTGCCCCACGCGTGACAAACTCATCCTGATGTGGCCTCGATTGAACTTCAGCTCAGATACCAGACTTGTGAGTGTCCACAGATGTGCTGGGGAGAAGGTTCCAGAAGTGAAGGCCGGCTCCCTCCATTCCACTTTTGGCCAAATTCGCTGAACCCACTGGCACCAAAAATAGTCATTGTTCTGGGGACATGGTTTCCTCGAGTCTTTCGAAGTTTGCCCTTCCCTCCCCTTAGCCGGCGCAGGGCCGACCTTGACATGAAGAATCTTTCTTGATTGATGAGCTCTTTCAGATGAGAAAGGTCGGAGAAAACAACTGAAGCGGCATACAGCACCTGAGGAGGCGCAGGTGAACCACGCGGCCCGTTCACACACCTTACGTCTGTGGTCGGCGCTGTGGTGGGAGGGGCCGTGCGGCTGTTCAGTTACAGATGAGGAAGCTGAGTGGCCAGCGGCCGGCAGTGTGGGGCCCAGAACGCAGGTCTTCTGGGCGTGGACGCGGCTCAGAATTCGTTAGATGAGCCTGAGACGGGCCAGGTCCGGAGGCAGCAGCTAAGCAGGGAGCAGCGTTTCTCGGGCCTGGACGATGAACTGTAAGAGGAGGACACTTCTCCCTCTGCCCACTCAGGTCCACTGAGCTTAACCGAGAGCAATGTGCCCAAAAGGCGGAAGTTTCGGTTCCTGAATTCTATCAGTTACTGAGGATCAGGGCAAAGACAAGCCTTTCGAGGCGTGAAATAGGTTAGAGGTTATCACGAAAATGGAGTCAGTGTCAGAAAAGTCAAGGTTTTATTCCAGTCTCGACTTCCATCCGAGGCAGACCCAGATTTGGGGGACCAGACCCAACACCCCTGCAGACCCCTCTTCAGAAGAACACGAAGCAGTGACTCACGGTTGCCCACGGGGCCCCGTGGAGGCCAGGCAGTGAGACCTGGGGCCTCGCTCCTCTGTTCCAGGAGAGCCGTCCGTGCTGATGAGAGACGGTGCAGTCAGATGACAAACAGCCTTTGACCTTGAACACAAATGGTTCAGTTCCAAGCGAGGAGACGCAAAACCTTTCCTGAGAGGGACAGAGGGACGTGGAGCAGGGGACGGTGCTGGGCGCGGCCAGAGAATTCACAGGAGACACTGTGCTCCCGGGCTCCCGACAGGCCAGCCGCAGCCACTCCTGCACCATCTGGGCCTCGGATCTGCAGGTGCTGCACCAGGGTCTCCTGTCCTGGGGGGTCGCCAGCTCCTCCACTGCAGAGTCCCTGCGCGAGACCCTGCGCGACCTCGGAGGCCACTTGTCTGTAACTCAGGAGGACGCGGACTCCCCTGGGGCAGCAGGAAACAGCAGTTCCTTGGCTCCGACCCCGGATGAGCCAAGGTCACTTTCCTGGGAGGCCGGTGTGCCGAGTCCCTTTGGGGGCATCACGGCGGATCCCAGTGACTCCCGCTCAGAAGGGCTGTGCAGTCCTGTGGCGATGCTCTCAGGGGCGAGCCCCTGTGGCCGCACAGCCCCGGGTGGACAGAGGCAGCCCCGGGAAGACAGAGGCTCTGTTCTTCCTCACACCTTAAAATCAACAAACTCCCCATTTATGTCACCAGATGGACCACAAAACCTTGCCTTTTCCCTTTATCCGGATTAAATGTGCCCCTACCTCCCCACGAGGCCGTCACTGACATCACTCCTGGGGTTGAGATTCGGGAAACAGATGAAGCTTTAACACTCGGCAGCACTGGAGGTTTCAGGGACCCTGAGGGCAGAGGCGCCTTAGAAGCGTGCACCGGCCTCAGGGCCAAGGGGAGCTGTGTCTACTGGCCTGGGCGTGGTCACACCAGGGCTGGAAGGGTGTGGAGCAACTTCAATTTTATTTCACACAATTAGGGATAAACTATGGCTTTGCCTGTCGTCTTCCATTATAGGGTTAGACCGGGGTTTATTTTTGTGTGTGGTTTGTATAAAAGTGCGTTTAAATATGTCGTTTTCAAGCCTGATTTTACAGGAATAGGAGTGAACGTTTGCCAGTCCCGGTGGCGAATGCTGCGCCTGGGCTCACGGGCTGATTGGGTCTAGCTGGGGAGTTCTTGGGTCCCCGTGTCAACAATGAGTGACCGACATTCATGCTATTTGGGGCAAGTCACCAAAAATGTGCTGATAGGAATCTCTGCAGTTTCAATGATGAAATTAGGAAAACGGCTCAATGTGCTTTTTTTACCCCACTAAACATCTTTTCTTTAAATTTCTCACACACTGGCTCTCTTTTTCCCCTAGCAAATACAGTTCTGGTTGTCTTGTTCCTCTGTCTCCACTAGCCTGCAGCCTCTGGTGGCCTTGTGGAGACGCAGCCTCGGTTTCCTCTGTCTGGGGAGTGTCTTGGTTTGGTACTGCACTTTGTAATCAGGAAACATGTAATTGTAGAGAGAACGAGTAGATAAATTAAATGTATGAACTGATAAATGAAATAAAACAAATTTAATTTATATCTCCGATTCTGACACCAGATTGCACTGGGTGGAGCTTTCCCACCACCAAGCAGTTGCCAGCACCAGCTGAGTGTCCTTTGGTTCAACTGCATGCTGGCACCGTCTGCCCAGAGACAGCGTCAGCATGGCCCAGCCCAGACGCTGACCCCACTTTAGGCGCCGGCCACAAGTCCAGGTGCTCACCAGTGCTTGCGATCGACCCCTCCTTGGGGTCAGTCCTTGCACTGGGGCAGCTCACAGAACTCAGAGAATCATTTCACTCCCTCGATCACGGACGTATCATACAAGGACATAACTCAGGACCCTTGCCCACTGGTGATTAACTCAGTGCCCAGCTCCCTCTCACCCCAGAGGTCAGGGACTCAAATCTCCAGCCCTCAGGTCTCTGGGCTTGTTCCCCTTCCCCGGACCAGCCGCCTTCTGGGGTGGGGTCAGCTCACCTCATCAGCATAACAAGGCGCTCTGAGCCCTCAGCCTTAGCCACTGCCCAGGGTTTTCCAAGCTCTGCGCCAGGAGAGGCGGCAAAGACCAAATATATGTTCCTTATTATAAATCACGATATCACAATATTACACCAGGCTCCTTGCAGTTTTAAAGATAATTACAACTGGAAATGTTTTACTGTTATACATGCATTTTTATATATTATATATTTATATATATTTCACAAATGTGATTTTACCAAGAGAAGAAACAACCTGCTGAGCTCACAATTGTCTGTGCATGTGCATCTTCTCCACGACACCGACAGGGGCACCTTTGCAGAGGGCACTGCAGAGCCGCGGTGGCGGGACCCCAGGCCTCATGCTCAGCCTCTTCTTGCTGAGGGTGCACGCCCCCTCACATCCAGGGGCTCCCACGCTAGTTCTGCCATATGAAACCCAGTCAGAAACAACAGTACCACCAGGCCCGTCCCTAAGACTTCCCACAGACGCCACTGTTCTCGCTCTCTGCTCACCCCACTGTCTGGAGGCAGATGATGGTAGACGCTGGATGCAAGGAGCCTGCGACAGCCTCCCGTGAGCCGGCAGGGCTGTGACGGCAGCACCACGCTGTCGGTCTGTCGGAGTGGCCAGGTCCACCCGCTGGGCTCACGGCAACGTGAGCTGTCCCACCAACACTCATCACAATGGAGGGAGGTGGACTGAGTGGCT